CTACTGTTGAACACTGTTGAAACCTGTTCCTCGAGAGGCCTCATATATATATTAACAAACACCATTATGTCATCTTAGCAAGATTTTATACAAGGTCAATGGAAAACACACAAGTTATATCTAAGAATGACTGTTGTTAGCAAATCTTGTTCTGACTTTAATCATTCTGTCTGCAGATGAACAGCATGTCATGAAAACCTAGGTCATTAAAGGATGTCATGAATTACTTGCTCAAACATAAAAGTATTAGTTCTATTACACTTTCCACACCAAAATCAAAGATTACTGAAAAATTCAAACTTAAGATTCTTGATTTGAAAGCTGACATGAGAAGAATGCAGAGACAAGAAGAGAGGCCATAAACATTTTAGTAGTAGTAGTCGTAGTAGTAGTAGTAGTAATCTACAGTATTTCTCACAATGGTTAACGTGTCCTTTAATTAATAAATTTGAAAGCAACGTGTTTATCTGAGGAAACAGCTGAAGTGACTGAAGCCAGGTTCATAGAAGAACCTTTTATGGAGAAGTCTAATAATTTCCATGGGCTGGTGTTGGCTATTAAACTCAGTTTAGATGAGTAACTTCTATTTACACAGGTAAATCCCACTGCGATCCCATATCTCCATCAGGGGAGGCCTGAAGGCTGTTATGAATTTATAGGTAGTGATGTGTCTTTACACTTTAGCTGTATTGTATTAAAAATACGATTGCTGCAGCTTTGAAAATTTATTAATTTTATGAGGACTGAACCGATCAGCAGTGTCTCTCCCGTAGATGTTTTTATATTCTGTTTGGGTCGTATTTTTCAAATTGTTCAGTTTTCTCAATTTTCTATTTCTCTGACGTTTTCAGAACTATTAGGTCACTGTACTTGTGACAAAATTGCCAAATAAGGTCTAGACTTACCAACTATAATTSAGTGGTCTTCATTCTCCTCTGGCTCTGACATGTAAGGCTGGGTGGACGTCTTCCCTTGTTGACATCTTTTCATTAATTTGTAATAAATTTTCTGCGCCATTAGATAATCACGTCTCTATCAAACTAAAAAAATGGCTGATCTGGGTAGAAGGGCGCGGGGTGCGAAGCACCTCATTTGTATTTAAAGAGACAGCGTCAAAACGAGTTGCTCTCACAAAAGGGGTGAAAGAGGGGCTTGTGGAGTTACAACAGGTAAGAATTCAGACCAAAGCATTGCAGTTCCACTTTATACAGACCCCAACTGAAAGATTTAAATGTGGAAAAGAAGGATTTAAAAGCAGGATGTCTCCTTTTAAATTTAATATTTTAAGACATCACAGCAGCATATTAGTTAATCTGAACACAGTTAATAAACATTCATGCACAAGTCTGTGAAGATTTGAGTTTTATTTCAGTAAACATTTGGTTGATCACCGTTTTAAACAATTTTTGTAATCGGCCTCATCGCTACCTTATACAAACATAAAAAAACTACTTCATATTGCATGGATATTATAAGCTTTTTGGTTAACATAGGAAAGAATGAACATAAAAAAATACATTTATACACAGAATATAAACACGGGGCAGAGAATATTGAAAAAAAAAAGGCCAAACATAAACATTTGGTTCATCCTTTCAGACAAGGTTGGAGTGCTGTGTGTCTGTTTTTAAATAATCTCAAGAGTTTAGCAAAACAATGAACATTTTTGGCTTAACACAAAAAAGTTTGGTCTTACAGATACCGATGTTCTCCAGCTGTCAACACATACYGATTGTCTGTATTTAAAAAGTAGTTGATGCAATGCTCAACATCAAAACACAAAAAACACATTTCTACTTAGCTTCAGACATGACTGAATTAAGACGATTATAAAGCCCTAAACTGGCTGTAGCTATAAAGCAGGTTAGATGTTTTTGGAAGACAAGTCGGTTTAACGGTTAAAAACCTCTGTAACATTCAAAATCATTCAGGAAGTGCAGGACAGTTTTTATACAAAACAGAAACAAAAAAAATCAGGAAGTCTAAACCAAATGAAGCTCAACTAAAAYGAGCAGAATCTGCTTTATGTGTATATACATTTCATTACACAACATCAACCTGGTGACAGAACGGTAACAAAACTAATGTGCACTTTTTCACAAAGTGTTTGCAGTAACCTCTCCACAGCTGATTTAAAAATAGTGGTACCAAGAACAGAAAAAACAAACCACTGACACGCCTCGGCTTGGTTTGAAAGGCGCGTAGACGTCAGGCCATGTACCGACTGCATTAGTGGCAYGAACGTAAAACCTGTTTTTCAAGTCTGGAGACGAATTGGAAAGTACCAAAGTATGACAGCATGTGTTGTGTTTTACATAGCATTCAATAGTCTTTGTATTAAACAATAAACATGTGAAAAAAAACAAGAGGAGAGTTCTCCATCTTCTCCCTCTCATCTGTGGTTGGGTCACAGAGACAACCGGTTCAGGAGAGAAAMCCAGACCTCTCTCTCCAGCTCTGCTATGCACACTCACCCATCTGTGGAACATTTTCTTTGACAATTAAAAAAAAAGTGACTTGTTAAATTAAAAAGTGATTATTATTATTATTGTTATTATTAACCAGGAGTTTGTACTGTCAGGTTCATTACAACAAAGGACATGTCAGGAAAGTGAGTAACAAACAGGAAGCGATGACGTCCAGAGCAGACGGTGTCAGTGTTCAGATCTGCAGTCCTGCCTCAGCGGCTCTATTTAGTCTGTTTTTTCTGCCGCGACAGTTTCATAACGATGTTACGTTGAGGGAAGTTTGACTGATGAGGAACGTCTCGGCTGAGTCTGCAGAGATCTGAGGCAGCCTGACTGGGATTTTTAGAGCTTGTGACAGCTACCTCCAAGCTTTTAGCGGACAGTAATCAGTAACGTGAAAAATATATATACAGTTTTTTCAGCTGTAAGACAGAAAATAATTTTGAACAAAAATCTGATTAATATATGAAGAAATAAAGTAAAAAAAAGGAGTCTTTGTTTCTGTGTTGTTTAGTTACACAGAAGCTTACAGTCAGTCTCCCGGCAGCTTCATGCGAACACCTGCATGTTCCCCAGCTGAGGCTGCTGAGACGCCTGCTGCATCGGCTGCGACTGCGGCTGCAGCTGTGGCTGCATCTGCGCCTGCTCCGAAATGTGTGTGCGGTGCGACGACGGCAGTGCGTGGTGGGTGTTCCCCAGGGGGGTGGGGCTGGTGGTGACGTCGGACCAGTCTGAGTTGGAGTGAGGTGAAGAGGAGGACCAGGGGTCCGGGGATTCGGGTGAAGGGGTGAGATAAGGGTGCTCGCTCGGCGGGTGGTTGGAGTGGGCCGGGGTGGTGCCGTCWGAACCAGACAGGGTGTAGCTGTGCTGGGAGGGGGGCGTGGGGTATTTATCCACGGGGCTCTGCATGGTTGGGTAGGACTGCAGCGGTCGAGACTGACCCTCCATCCCTCCGTGGCTGCCGTGGGCGGCGGTGTGCGGGGGCTGCAGAGTGTGGGCCATGCCCATTGGCTCCGACAGCTGGTAAATCATCCCCGGGCTGCAGTGCAGGTGCCCCTGTCCCTGCTGGGGGTGGCCCAAACTCTGGTTCTGCCCCTGGGACTGCGTGACCTGCACCKGACCTGGCTGCGACTGCTTCAGCATGGCCTGGCCGGCTGCGGGACTCATCATGTGGAAGGTGACGATGGACGGCAGCTGCTCCCGGCTCATGCTGACGTTCATGGGAGTCATCATGGGGCTCTGGCCCAGGTGCTGGGTCATGCCGGGGTGYGATCCCCTCATCTGGGGCGGGACGATGCCGAACATGGGGCCGTTGTAGCCGGCGTGCTTGGGCATCCTCACCCAGCTCTGCTGCTGTCCCAGCATGTGGCTGACGGGAGGCAGCATCTGCCTGCTGCTGGGACTGCTCAGGAGAGGAGGGGAGCTCGCAGAGCTGGACACGGCGCCGGAGACGTCGCCTGTGAAGGAGTGAGGCGACTCCAGGGAGTCCACAGGTGACATGGTGACGGAGCTCTCTGGAAGTCCTCCTGCTGCCTTCGCACCGTTAGCGCCCCCTCCTCCTGTACCTCCTCCGTTTGCTGCACTGACTCCAGCACCCAGACCTGGTCCTTCTCCACCGGCGGGCTTCTTTCTTCTCTTCGCCTTCATGTCTTTCAGCTCTTTAGGCCCGCCTCCGACACCTCCCACCTTGGCTCCGCTCCTCCGACTCTTCTTGCCTTGAGGTCCCGGGCGCATGCCGATGAAGCCCGCTCCGTTGGCTCCACACATGACGGAGTTTCCTCCTCCGCCCATGTGGTTGGGCCCGCTGTGCGGACTGTGAACCAGGTTGTACTGGTCCAGCAGGCGGACGATGTCGTGATGCATGCGCTCCTGAGCAGTGTCGCGAGGGAGGCGGTCCAGGTGGTCGGTGATGTCACGGTTGGAGTAGTGGTCGAGAAGAACCTGCGCAGCCTCGAAGCTACCTTCTCGAGCTGCCAGAAACAACGGCGTCTCCTCCTGAAGGAAACGGACCAGAAAACAGCTTCAGCATGAAAAATGAAGACAAAAGGTTTTAAACTCTTTCACAAATGCAAATAAAGTTTTCTGTCTTTGGAACATATTCTTGAATCATCTCTCAGTTCTTCCTGTTAACAGTCTTGATCGTTACATCTTTGATCTTTAAGCATAAAAAGCTCCTAACCTGAGAGATAACTTTCCTTTATGTCAACACACAACTTCACAGAACTACATCTAAATGAGACAAAAACACAGTTTGTCTCTGGTTCTTTAGTCTATAAAATATATTAAATATACAAAAATTAATTGTTTTAGCACCAAAAAAGTGACTCCTAAAGAGATAATCTGTCATACATTAGATTAAAGATGATGCTACATTTTTTTATTCTATTTTTTAAAGACATGACTTTCATCTTTTTTGAAGCACAGTACAACATGCTGTCATTGTAAAAAAGTACAAAGACCGGTCAGAGGACAAGTAAAAAAACATACCAAAGTAAAAGAATAATAAACTGAAAGACTTTAAAGATTAAACTAAAGTATAAGAACTGAAGTGTGCTTCTTTTAAAAAGGGGAGGTGAACAGCAAAATGACTTCAACTTCACTGAAACCTTTATAAATACCACGAAGTGAAAGCTGAGTGAGATTTCCCTCTAAAATATAACACTATTTTCAGACATTTCATAAATTTATTCTTGTTATATAATTAGTTGTTTTACAACTTTTAAATAAACATTAATTTGCAGTTGCTGTATTGCTTTAGTTTAAACTTGATTCATTTTTTTAGCTAAATGTTTGTTTTTGTTTTTTTATTTTAATGTAACTTTTAACCTGGTTTGCAGAGTTTGTGATAGTAACATAAGTGTACAAGATGAAAACAGACACACACCTTGTTGTCTTGCATGTCCCGATTGGCACCATTCTTCAGAAGAACAAGCGTGGCCTCCACATTATTAACTGCAGCCGCCCAGTGCAGAGCAGATTTACCTACAACAGAGACGGGAAGACATCTGTGTTTAAAACACATGTCTTATTATTTATGTTAAATTTATTTACACATCAGCTGCAAGTAAGAACATTCTGATACTTTGTGACTCATCCAAAATTTGAGAAATCAAATCCATCACTACAGCGAGTAAAGTCAGATTACTTTTGGATAGAGGTGCACAGCTCCTGGCACTAAAACCTGCTGAAATTTGAACTTCAGAGATGAGTTTCCTCACCGTGATCATCTACGGCGTTAATGTCTGCGTGGCAGTGGATCAGCTCTTCAACCATGCCTTCCACAGCCAGCCGGGCTGCCAGGACCAGCGGGGTTGTACCATCATTCATCCTGGCATCCAGTTCTGTCGCTCGATTACGAATCAGAATCTGAACAAACACGAGACATGAAGGTAACAAAGTGATCGTAGTAAAATGGGTTTCCACATGAAGACATCGAATTGTTGCCTCTCTACATCATGACACTTCATTCTTTTCAGCTTYGACCCTTTGGCCTCATTAGACACTACCAGCACCATCTAGCGGTAGGGTTGGTCATAATCGTATCGTGTGCGATTAATCGTCAGAAAAACAATTCATTATTTTTTGCCACTTGACAATTAATGCGATTAATGCCACCAGGCAGAGTCCACTCTGTGCTCCTCTCAGCTTCAAATATGACGAATATTTAAAATAAAAGTTCTGTAATTTATCTATCAACACAATTTAAAATTTGATGTATAGCCTGAAGTCTTGTGATTATGACACAATCTGGAACAGATTTTTGCAAAGAGCAAATTTTTTCTAAATTGGTCATGTGACCAGGACATACAGTATGGGTGTCCAGGGACTCCAGGGGATTAATCGTCAAATTAATCGTTATCGTCTAAATACCACAACTAATCGTGATATATTTTTTGCCAATATTGCCCAACCCTATCTAGCGGTCACCTAACATTACACTCCTTTCAGTGAAGAGAAGATGGAAGGGATCCCAGTAAAAATCTTCTACAGCGACTCCCGTCAGAAAAATGAGAATCATAGAAATACAAATCATATTTCATGCTTGAAACTTGTGTAAATAAGCACAATCACATCTTTAGCTTCATAAAACATACAAATTTGACACATTTGTGCAACTGTAGCAAAATGCAATGTTGGTAAAGATGAAGTCCTCATTTGAGGGCATTGGGACTATAATTTGTTATTGATTGTACCATGAGGTTAGATTAACATGGAATATTTAGAAGAATTCATAAATGTAAATACCTTTTGTAAGTGGTATATTTGGTATACAAATTTAGGTTAAACAAATCTGGAAATATTTAGAACAGTTCACAAGAGTAAAACAATTTTTTCAAGTTATACATTTGTCCAACCAATAAATTACACCTAGGATGCTCTGGTCAAATAAATCTGAAAGTTGCCATTGATGATGATGATCTTGCCCTGTTCAACATCTGGATGCTGTATTGCCCAAATAACTAGGAAAACATTACACCCAGAAAGGCTTAACGTGAAGTTTCTAGTGTTTTGCATGGTAATTGCTTAGGTATTCCTCAACAAGCACGACATTTTGAGGCCCATAAGAGGAMATCATTTTTGGCAAAAACCACTTCCTATACCATGACAAAGTATAGTTATTATGCTTACTAGATCATACTAATCTCATGTTTCTTGTGTGCATAAAACAAAAGTTTGGGTCTCAGGAAGTTAAAACATCACAAGAACTGGAACATCTAATCCTCACCTGAAAAACTCCCTGAGCATCAGCTGCCACAGCAGCATGCAGCGGCGTCCTCCCCATGTTGTCGTGAGCGTTGGGATCTGCTCCAGCATCCAGCAGTCTCTTGGCAGCGTCCGCTCTGGCGTAGCGGGCAGCCAGGTGGAGAGCCGTTTCTCCAGTCCGATCAGTCTGAGCCTTCAGATTCGCACCTTGAGCGATCAGATCTGAAATCATACTTGGTCCCGGTTCGTCTCCTCCGCTCTCCTCCTCCTCTTCCTGCAGGCTGCAGTCTGGGCCTCCACCATTACGCAGCGATGCCAGCATCAGAGGGGTAAAGCCATCTGAGGGAGCAAACATTTATTATTGCTGAACAATTACTAACGGAGGCAAACACTGAACTAGTAGCCTTTTCTTTTTTTTTTTTTTGCTCACCGGGTCCTTTGACATTAACATCCAGACAGTCAGCATCCAGGTCGGCCTGTGGAGGAGTCAGGGTGATGTCAGCAGCTTTGCGATGTTGTAAGGTCCATTCCCTTCGGTCAAYACCTCCATCCAGTGGGACGGACAGCAGAGGTTTGTCTTCAGTCTACAACATGCCAGAGTTTGACAATAAATTCACAACAGTAAGTACTTTTTATTTTACAGGAACCTTTATCTTTGACTCATAATTCACTTACTCTTAATTTTTTTGAGGGGACTTCTTCTTCAAGATATCTCTGACTTCCATTGGCTATACCTCCATCCTGAGTCTTTAAATTCCTAACAGAAAAATATAATTTAAAAAATGTATAAGAGACCAAGATTTTATTCTGCTTGTATTTATTCTAGAACCTATGACTGTGCTCTTATGTTTTCATTTGTTCTTCTGTTCAAGCCATTCGTCAGAATTTTCACTCACTTCAGGTCGAAGTCGTCTTGTCCAACAGGCTCTCTCCTCTTGTCATTTTTCGAGGCCATGAAGCCATCAGGCAGCCACAAGACACCATGTTTGTGCTTCTTCTTGGCTGCCAGCATGCTCACCACCACAACGAGCAGAATAATAACTGCAGCAACTCCAATCAGGTACAGATAGTTTACCGGGGGTGGCTTGACCGTTTCACCTGTTTTAAAAAAACAAGCTGTTGTTGCAGATTCATCAGAATCACAATTTACACAAATTAAAAAACAGGCAACTGGACTTCATTTTTTTGCTTCTTGAAGACATTTAAAGGTGACATGTCATGTTTTTGAATTCTACTTTTTTACATTTTAATCATTCAGTTGGGGTCTATATAAAGTGGAATTGCAATGCTTTGGTCTAAATTGCTCCTTATTGTAACTCCACAAGCCCCTCTTTCACCCCTTTTTCTAAAGTGTGTCTCAGATCAACTTGTTTCTCTCTCTTTTTTTTGGTTATCCAATTTTGCATGATATGTTTAGGGCCCTATAATTTCTGCGATGTGGAAAACGCGGACAGAATAGCGGAATTGGCCAAACAAAATGGAATCCGGGGCAAAACGTGGAATCTCAGGGAATTCGCTTATTTGAGTGAGTTTCTGGAGTATTTTGGCCACTGCYGCTCACTTTACCTGCCATTACCTGGTAACAGGTACGCAGGGTGAGTGCGGAGCTCACCTCCCGATACAGGAGAAGGGAAAAAAGCTCCGACCCGCGAGGCGAACAACAAACTTGCTTAAAGTAACGTCCTCCAAAAATATGAAGCTAGCATAAAGTTTAGGACAGAACAATGTCGTAGCCGTTATTTATTTATCTGTAGAAGAACTTTTCTGCAAGTTTTTTTTGGCACATGATGGGCTGGATGCTGGGAAGACCACTTCCTGTCTGAGTCACAGACAGAGGAGCATCAGAGACACGCTGAAAACTCCTCAACACTCAGTGAGGTGGGAGTCCGACTGGGAGTTTATCCATGATTTTGCTGTTGTTTGTGCAGAATCAGATATTCCTTTAGAAAAATTGAAAAAGCTTTGTCCGTTTTTTGATAAAGCAGTGTGTGTGTCTCCATTACAGAAGTAAATGAGCTTGGATTGTATTCAGTTGGCAAGTGTGCACAAATTGTTGCTGTTTGTAGGTTTTATGTTTGTTTATGACATAAATTAAATTCTAAAACATAGGTTACATTTTAAAACATTTTTATTTTACAAAAGATAACGTTAGTATGTGAGATTCTAGGTTTTACACATAAAAATGTTTTTCCCTTAGTAAATAATCTTAAACACCTTTCAARAAGAGTTTAATGTTCCACTGAACCACAGCTACTGTACTTGTTATATTAGTGAAAGTAAAATTACTTTTTATTTCTGTAGCTTTTTATCTGTTTCATTATTGTTCAGTCACTTTATAATTACACACTTTTTAAGTTTAATAAATATAGTTGCAATGAAAATGTGTAATTCAGGGAAAAAAATGGAAAAAGTGGAATTTAGAAGAAGAAAAACGGAAAAAAACGGGATTTGGGAAAAAATAAAACAGATTTAATAGGGCCCTACATGTTCCCCTTAATCTCTCATATAAAGGGCCATGAGAGGTGAAAGTCTTTTAAATGAACAGAAAAAGCCTTTCAGACAAGAGGTAAAACAAGGAAGGCTGTCCAGTTGGAGAAAGATGAGTCAAAATCTGAGTTTGTTAAAGTTTCATGTTTACCAAAACTTTAAAATGACTTCTTACTTTTAACAGACACAAGTGGGTAAGGGAGATCAGCTTTGATGTGTGACGCTGCGATATATGATGCAGCTGCAGACGAGTTGGATAAACAGTGAGTTGGGGAGGTCTTCAAACATTCACGGTTATCAATTTCCAGGTGCACCTCAGAGCTGCGAACACGCATGCAAAACAAATCCATTAGATTTAGCAACACATCACAGTGTTTCAAACCTCTGACATATGAGAATTACAAAGATAAATACTGATGATGGTATGAGCAGCTCTTACCCAATAACCTCTCTGTCCATTTCCCGTTTGGCTCTGCTCCTCTGTCCGTCTGGTCTCTGGTCTTTATCCACCCCATAGTAAGGATAGACTTTCGGTTCCTTCTTGTCATTCAGTTTCACCTGCACGTTGGTGCGCAGCAGGGCTCCCAGGGAGCGCAGGAAACCGTTTAAGTCTCCAAGAAGCTCCTTAGGCTGCAGTAAAACCACGATGATGAGTGTGCCATCTGCCACACTGGACGGCACGTCAGAGGAACAGTCCAGGCCGTCCCAGCCGCAAGCTTCTGTGTAGCAGCTCTGGTCACAGATGCCATTACCATAATGGTCTTTGCAGTACTTGTCGTATCTAAAACACACGGGGGTCGTGAGACAAAGTGTGATTGTTAATTGCGTGAAAATCAATGTGCAACAGCAATGACAGGTTCGGTAGCAGAGGGACGTACTTGCAGAGGTCCGTTTGAGCATCCTGACATTCGAAGCTGTCGAAGAGACACCCAGGGTTGTCACACTCTTTATCACACTGCCCATTCTTAAAGAGATCCCAGCAGGGGATGCTGGCGGTGCAATTCGCCCAGGGCTTCGGCCATCTCAGCGAGCAGTCTCCTCCGTCCCACTGACAATCGTGGACGTTGCACTGCTGGTCACACACTTTGTCTCCTGCTTGCTGCTCACACTGCAGATAGGGGCAGGCAGGGGCAACGGAACTAGGTGTTTTATTCTCACAGTACCGTCCGGAGAAGTTAATGGGACAATGGCAGCGGTGCTGGTATGGGTTGGACAGGTCTTTGATGCAGGTTCCTCCGTTTAGACAGGGTTGGGTGCACCACTGCTCCAACTCGCAGTGTGGCCCCTTGAAGCCTTGTTTACACTGGCAGTACAGGTGGCCGGTGTGGCCCTTCACACAATGCCCACCGTTCTGGCAGCGTAGTTTGGCACAGTTGTAATCCTCTATTTCACCACAGCTGAATCCAGTAAAACCCTGTGAAACATAACATTCTTCTTGAGTTGTTGTATATAAAAAAACCTTTGCTACTGATTTTCAAGCAGTTTTACAAAGGGTTAGCAAGGCCTACAAATCTGTTTCCACTGTACCTGAGCCATGGAGAGGCCCTCTGAAGCAAGCATGAAAATATAGACGTGGCAAGATGTTAATGGAGAGAAAAAAAACAAGCATTTCATGAGAGAAGATTGCCGTACAGCGGCAAAAGAAAGGGAAACAGCTGCCAGCCACACACTGGAACTTTGTAGCTTCAGTCTGAACAGACATTTCACAACTTCTCCCAACAAAAACTCTCAATTAAAAGGACTGGGCAACCTTGAAGAGTAGTAATAATGGTGATAAATTTATGTGATCTTAACTGACAGATTTGTCATTTCAGCAGTAAATGTTGTAAGTATAATCAATGTTTCCCCAACCACTGTACACAGAGGGCAGGCCCGCCTCCCTAACAGAGCCTTGCAAATTTTTACTTTTTTATAGTCCTTTACTTTAAAAAACACAAGCACTGCATTGTTCTGTTCAGGAATTTATAGACAGTTCAAAACCAAGAGTGGAATAAAAAATTCAAGGCTAACAACATGTATACGAATGGATCTATGTGGCTGAACATGTGTGGACAAAGTAGTAGGTTTTCCTGTGAGTTTCTCCTCCAAACCTAGAGCGTACGTCGTCCAAGATCCGTAAAATTAACTGTGCTCTCTAAAGTCGGCTCCAAAAGCTTTGCTGGAAATTTTCTTAAAATCAGTTCAGTGATCGGCTCCAATTAGTTGATGGCAACATTTTAAATAAAGATCTTAGGCAACTAACCGTTATTAAAGGCGCAATATGTGTTTCTCAGGCATTCTATACCATAATAAAGTAACTATGTCACCTTCAGTTGTTATTAAAATGATGCTTATATGTTTAAATATAAAATAAACTTTATTTCTCATCATATCTGTTTCTAAATGCCTTGAAATTAGCCTCTGTCTCTTTAAGAACCTCCTTCTGCTTCTTTCCCGCCCATTTCNTTTCTGCACGGGGCTGGGTGGGTGGGTGTGCTCTGTGATGAGGAAGCTCGGCTTGGAGACACAGTCCAGAGGAGGAGCTGATCCCAAAAGGTGGTTCTAGGTCCAACAGGTTGTTTTTGCTCCCCTGCCTGGCTGCCTCAGGACACTACAGGATTTCTCAAACATGCATGAATGAGTCAAAGTAAGACTCTGGGCATGTTTCTGATGAGAGGACAACCTTATAACATGATACAAAACTCAAAAAAGTTGTTTGTACATGACATTGCCCCTTTTAAAACGCGTTTGAGTATAAAGAGAGGAGAATGATTTTTTATCATTTGATAACAGAAAACAGTTGACTACATTACAACTTACCAGAGGACAGGAACATGTGTATCCATGCACTGAGCTGGCATTCATAGAGCAGACGGCTCCGTTACGACACGGCTTCGACTGACACAGATCCACCATGGATTCACAATGACGACCTGAAGAAAAAATATAAATAATATATAATTAATAAAAGTATTGTAAGTATTGTTAAGAAGGAATTATTCTTAATTTTATTCAAGGTAGTGCTGTCTGTTATTAAAGAAAAGATCTTTTTTACAGTGTTCAAACATTGTAGAAAAAGATCAGTAACATCTTGTTTTTACACATCTAGAATGTCTGTTGGTGGGAACCTGAGTGAACGCTACATGATGTGAAGTGTACCTGTGTAGCCAAGGCGACAGAGGCACCGATAGTCATTGACCAGCTCAATGCAGTCGAGGCTGCCCATGGCATTGCAAGGCCCAGACAGACATTCGTTGAGATCGCCCTCACAGTGGTCTCCAACAAACCCGGCAGGACAGGAGCACGTGTAACGACCCACGCCGTCGATACACTGTCCTCCATTTCGACACCGTGGCTCGGAGGAGCCGGGGCTGGGGGCACAGTCGTCCTCGTTCACCTCGCACTGAACTCCTACAGAGCAGCGAACACATGGACATGCATCAGCTGAAACAATAAACGCTGTTCAACTGATTTTTTTTTATCTACAGAAGGCATTGAGTAGAGTATTCGGTTTTATACTAAAATTAAGCAACTGGAAGAACCCCACATGAAACACTGATGCGTTTAATTTTTCATCAAACATTCAATCATTTACCAGAAACTTAAACTGTTCAAAAAACCTTTTTTCAGCTGTTTAAAGACGAAAAAATTTCAACAAACTGTTCATGATATTCTAACATCGCATTAGGCTTGACAAACAGAAGTACAAATATGCTGCGTGAGCTCTTAAAGGGATCCCTGATTAGTTGTAACCGACTTTATTTGATAAACATTTATTTTAACTGTAAAATAAAGACTGTAAAAATACTGTAGACTGTTTAGTTTTGTAAATTTTTAAAAATATGTTTTAACATGGATGGAGCCATTTTATTTACACACAAAGCATTCTGGGTAAATGATGATATGGATAGGTCCTCTGTGTGAGCGAGCTATATCCACCCTGAAGGTTAATCTTGGACAATATCTGATGATCGACTCGTTTAAATGAAACCAGAGAGCGTTGACAGAGAGGAGAAGGTAGAAATGACTCAGCCTGTAACAGAAAATATGGATGGAGGACAACAGAGCTGCTTCATGGAAGAAGAACCTCAGCTTAGCCTGTTAGCCTTTGCGCTAGCGCTGACACTATATTGCCTTATACTGTATGTATTAGCTCGGTGCTAGCGCGACAAACAAGCTAAACTGAGGTCCTCCATCCATATTTTCAGTTACAGGCTGAGTCATTTCTACCTTCTCCTCTCTGTCAACGCTCTCTGGTTTCATTTAAAAGAGYCRATCMTCAGAWATTRTCCAAGATTRAHCTTCAGGGTRGATATAGCTCGCTAGCAGCCTCGCACCRAGGACCTATCCACDTCATCRTTTACCCAGAATGCTTTGTGTGTAAATAAAATGGCCCCGCCTGTGTAATATATTTTTGAAATTTTAGTTAAAAAATTTACAAAACTAAACAGTCTACAGTATTTTTACAGTCTTTATTTTACAGTTAAAATATGTTTATCAAATAAAGTCTAATGTTGCAACTAATCATGGATCCCTTTAATACTTAGTTATGTAGACGTACCGTGTGTTCCAGGGGGGCAGACACAAGTAAAGCGGTTGATGAGGTTGATGCACGTTCCTCCGTTGAGGCAGGGCTTAGAGTGGCATTCATCAACATCATATTCACAGTTCACTCCTTGGTAACCTGGTTTACACTGGACAAATTAAACAAGAAACATATTTTAAGTCTTGGTTTGAAAATAAGACTTAAACACAAAACCTTTAAACATTATTTAGGAACATAAATCCAAAAATCTGCAAAAGCACTTACGACACATTCATATGTGCCCTGATAATCGTTGCACATTGCTCCATTGCGGCACGGGTTTGACATGCACTCATCCACCATTTCTTCACAGTAGCTGCCTGTGTATCCTGGCTGACACTGACACTGATGGGAAGTCCCAATGGTGATGCATCGCCCTGCATTCTTGCACACATTTTCCACAGCTAAACCTGCAGCGAATCAGAAAAGGGGGCAGTTAATTAATTAATTAGTGCATTTGAATCACAAAGAAACCAGTTATTATTGATCTAATTATCTATTCATGTTTTGGTCGGGTCTTCCTGGAGGTGTTTGGCTCCGATTAGAGGACAGTGACCCCTCTGGGTTCACAGTTCACTCCTCAGCTATGAGAGTTGTAATAGAACTAATACTTTTATGTTTAAGCAAGTAATTCATGACAACCTTTAATGACCTAGGTTTTCATGACATGCTGTTCATCTGCAGACAGAATGATTAAAGTCAGAACAAGATTTGCTAACAACAATAATCATTCTTAGATATCACTTGTGTTTATCTTTGTGTTTTCCATTGACCTTGTATCAAATCTTGCTAAGATGACAGAATGCTGTTTGTTAATAAATATATGAGGCCTCTTGAGACACAGGGTTCAACAGTGTTCAACAGTGGTGTGGAGAGACTGACAGAGAGAAGCAGAGGCACAGAGACAGGCCAGGTTCTCTGTGTTTCCTGTTGTTGCAATAAAACTCAGCTGATCATCTCACGGAGTACCTTCATTCATGGACCACGTATTTCTGTCTTTGTTAAATAAATATTTAACATAACAAGAGTGATGAAAACATCTCAGCTTCCTTTCATTCAGACAGTTTAAAGTCAAAATCTTCCTTGTTTGGTAAGCCTGGTAATTTGATGCTTGCTTGCTGTCTAGACTGAGTCAGTAGGTAACTCAGGTGGGTATGGACCTCTTGGAAATAGTTGGATCAACGACAGGATAAATTATTGGTTGATTTTGATCCAGTGGTAAATACAAGTCTAAGGGATCAGACCTTAGTTGGGTTTACAATTTTGCTAAAACAAGTTGTCAAATGAAATATTCCCTCACCAAGTTTGGCTGCAAAGTCCAGACAGGACAGGCTGGGGACGTCGCAGTAAAGTCCTGTCCATCCCGCCGCGCAGTGGCAGATCCAGGATGTGACTGTCTGAGAGCAGCTGCCGCCGTTTTTACACTTCACCTGGCTGCACAAGTCCACCATGTTCTGTAAAAATAAACAAAAATAAATAAATAAAAAAAGAGAGAAATAAAGTGTTGGCTATTTTTTAAGGAAGGAAAGGAGAAATGAAGAAAGAAAGTTTGCCACCAATTATAAGTTAAAACCTTGCATACCTAAATGTTTGTTAAATCAACAGTTTGTTTTCTTTAAGTTTTTTAAAGCATTGCAGATCCATAAGACAGCTACCAATTAAATTAACAATGAAATCAACAAATAATTTACCTGACAGTTCCGCCCACTATATCCCACAGGACAAGTGCAGCGATAAGTATCCAAGCCGTCTGTGCAGGTGCCTCCGTTCTTACAGGGCTGAGAGTCACACTCATCGTGTTCGTACTCACAGAACTGCCCATAAAAACCACTGCGACAGTTGCAGGAGAAGGAGTTGATATCATCAATGCAGGTCCCATTATTGAGACAGGAACTGCAGAAAAACAGAAAGGAACAGCAGAGTTGTTTTTATTAAAGGTTAAACTTTAAAGCAGTATGAGCTGATTCCTGCTCAGCTCACATTTTACAAGTTATTTTATGCTACTACCTCTTATTTCACAATCATAGAGTACATCAGTAATAATCTGCAGGAGACTTTAAGGCGATAGTAAACCGAAGCTTTGTGGATAACGAGTCGACTCCATGACTCACCTGTCGGTGCATTCAAGGATGTTGTGTTCACACTGGATTCCATTAAAGCCTGGTCGGCACAAACACACAAAGCTGTTGACGTAGTCGTGGCAGACGCCTCCATTCCTGCAGGGCTGGCTGGCGCACTCGTCTACCTCCGTATCACAGCGCTCCCCTTCAAAACCTGGCCGACAGTCGCAGGAGAAACTCGCCACTTGGTCCACACACAAGCCTCCATTCAGGCACGGGTCTGACAAGGGTAGAGGAAGAGAAAAAGAGGGGTTCCTTAACATTCATTTAAGCCATGTATGGGTCTTTAATTCATCTTCTGTCCATGCAGACTTGGAATATATTATTCTCTAATAATACAAACAATAAAACCAACAATACGATAAAAAAATACCTGGAACAAGGCCAAATAATAAAAACAATACTAAATCAGATCAGGTCAAACTCACTTGGTGAGCAATCATCTATGTCTGTCTGACAGTTGTGTCCACTGTAGCCACGTTGACATTTACACACGTAGCTCCCTTGAGTGTTGATGCAGCGGCCACCGTTTTTGCAGGGAGTTTTGATGCATTCATTTACATCCTCGTTGCAGCGTGCACCTTTTGTGAAACAACAAAGTTCGTGAGTAAAAACCACCAATAAATCTGAGGGGTTCACTTGTTAAACATCTCACACGCCGACCTTGCCAACCGGGTGGACAGCGGCAGGTGTAGGACGTGTAATCTGTAGATGGAAGACAAACTCCGCCCCTCTCACACGGTTGGAAGGCACAAGGATCTTGTTCCACCTCACAGTGTTTACCTATTTTGAGACAAAATTTTATATAATAAACTTGACATTCTGGCGTGATACCATTGGTTCTTATAAATGTATCACTAACCCGTGTAAGGTGGACTACAAATGCAAGTGTAACTGTTGATTCCATCTTTACAAATGCCGTAGTTCAGACAGGGTCCAGAGGCACATTCATCTATATTGTTTTCACAGTTGATACCTGCGAAGAGAAAAGACATTATTCATATTTCAAGCCTTCAGCTCTATGTTTGGGACAGTGTTAAGTTGCCTGCATAGAGAATCTACTTCATGAGCAATATAAACATATCCCTGGTCAAACAAGCAACTCTGCATCCATTGGTGTAATTGAACATCGAGTCTCATGGAAATTAGGGCTGTACGATATCAAGTAAATCTGTGATGTGTGATAGCAGTGCTTAATATTGCGATGACGATATGACTTGCGATAAATCAAAAAATATAAGTATACAGTGTTGATGTTTTTCGGCTCTGGGTTCAGAGCATTAATACAAAATTTCCATTACAACTTGATGGAGTGATTATGATTTGATGTTGTTTCTCTGGTCCATTTTATTTATCAGACTGATGCTGACAAACAACATAAATGCAAACATTAGAGCCAATCATTTATTGCAATTTATGCATTTTTTGCGATATGCATATTGCACTGGCTGTTATCGCGATAACGATAATTGTGCGATATGTTGTGTAGCCCTAGTGGAAATACATATTAAATCTAATTTTTTCAATCTATTTGTAGCCACAGTTTTACCTCTGAAGCCTAGTTTGCATTCACAAGTGTAACCATTGTGTCGGTCCTCACAGGTGCCGCCATTTAGGCATGGGTTCTGTTGGCACTCATCTTTTTCTTGCTCACAGTGTTGTCCAACCCAACCAGCTTCACACTCACATCGGTACCTTGATCGATAGAAAATAGAAAATACCAACAATGTAAAATAATTCAGTTGCATTAAAAACAGGTTTTCGAGCTCCAACACTAGTTTGTGCACCTATAAAAACATTATTACTTTGTAAAATGTGTACTCGGAAGCTACAGTTTAAGCCTTTAGGGTAGCAATTTAGGAAAGTAATCCATGTTTGAAGAATTTATTTCATTTAAACAGGAAAAAAAATAGAGAGGCAGGACTGACCCTAGCCAAATTGGCACTCTAGGCAAGATTTCAGGTGGTGCCCCTTGTACAATTTTCTAATTCTCACTGCCAATTTACGTACATAAACACTTGAGTTTTACCTGTAGAAACCAGGTCGTCCAATTAAAATAGTAAACAAAATAATTTATTTGAAACAGAATACCAGAAGTCTACCTCATTTTTGCCAACATCTGCTGACAGCAATGAGGAACACCTGGTTATGTTAATAGTTTTAATGTGTTAATAGTTTAGCTTACCCATGTTGCTGGTCAATACATTCTCCATGCTCACAGGGATGGGAAGCACAGTGATCGATACCAGACAGGCACAGAGGGCCGTGGGTGCTGGGCGGGCACAAGCAGTGGAACCCGTTCACTTTGTCAAGGCACGTTCCTCCACTCATACATGGGTTTGAGTTACACTCATTGATCTCCACCTCACATTTGTTTCCTGTTAGAAAAACACATCAATCTCAAACACAACTGTTTGCGTGCATTTCAGTATCTTTTTGTCTCACTATTATTGATTCTACTGARGTGCTGAGAACAAACATACCCGTGTATCCAGGGGAGCAGACACATTTGTACTCATTAATGCCATCCTGGCACTCTCCGTGCTCACAAGGGTTGCTGGCACAGTCATTCTCATTCATCTCACAGTTCACACCTGAGCAACAAAAATACAGATGGAGTCACATCAAACAAAACAAAACAACAAAAACGTAAACCGTAGAAACATAAAAGTGCTTTTCTGATAAAAGGATTAACTAAAGGCAGGGCTGAATAAACACATGTAACTTATTCACCACCAGGGGGAGTGGGACTCCAAGTAAAAGAAATGTAACAAGAGGTTAGGAAATGAGAACAAAAACTGGGGGAGTTTAAGCTGGAGGAGTGACATCAGAGATTTCTAGAACAATAGTTAGAGATGAGTTAAAGTAGAGGAAAGAAAGAAGGTGCAGCAGAGGAAGGGAAGTGGAGCATGAAACCTGACAGGTGACTTGATCTCAGGTTAATTAAAGTGAACACAGTACAGACTTCAGTATCATGTTTGTTGCACTTGCTCCAGGCTGCTGACTGCTACAGAGGCAGAGCTCGAAACTGTAAAAAGCTTCAAATGAGCTCTTGAAATCTTAGTTGGGAGCTTGTTCTCTGAACACTAAACCTTTACAGGGTGCTTGTTTTAACATTATGGACTCTTTAAAGCACACTGTAGTTAGGATTTAGCAGACAGCAAATAGGAGCTATAACCAAAGCTGCCTTATCCCTTTTTAGGATTACATCCATTACAACTACCATTAAAATGCACTCTCATCTGTGTTACTTGTGTCTAGGTGACTTGTTATCACGATTTGAATTCTCAAAATTTTCCTAACAAAGACACAATGACTAGAATATTGAGTTTCAGTGACAAAGTTCATCAAGTGCCCACCTGAGGTTCCTGGTGGACAGATGCACTGGTAGGCACCAACCCGGTTAATGCAGCGACCTCTGTTCTGACAAGGATTGCTGTGGCACACCTGTATCTGGATATTACAGATGATACCCGTGTATCCAGGAGAACATTCGCAGAAGAAGGTGGCAATGCCATCCTTACACACGCCATGGTGGCATGGCGATGAGTTGCACTCATCAAAGTTCTCTTCACAGAGGAGGCCGGTAAAACCTGAGGAGGACATCGCTTGTAAATACTGGAGTGATTTCAGCGCAGATGTAGTAACAGTTTCAGATTTCTCTTCACCTTCAGCACATTCGCATTCATATCCATTGGGACGGTCAATGCATTTGGCTCCATTCAAGCAGGGCGTGCTGGAGCACTCGTCTATATCGATCTGGCAAGTTTCACCACTGAAACCTAAAGACATAGCACAGTGAAGTATTAATGAGGCCTTTTTAAACAGAGCCATAAACCAGTTTTTTACAGATCTGTCAGTGTAGCAGGCAAACATAATGATACATCTACCAACCTGCTGGGCACACGCAGACAAAACGGCTGACCTGGTCCACACATTTACCCTGATTCAGACAGGGGGAGCTCATACACTCATTCACTTCTATCTCACAGTGAGTTCCTTCAAATCCTACAAGAACAACACAGAGTGAGCTTTAAGTGGATTGACATAGATAAAAAACAAATCCAAAATTAAATTTGCCTCAGTTTATAAACTTATTAGTAAAATAAACCTGATGATAGTAAAGTTCTGGCAGATTTGTGGCTGCTTTCTTAAAGTGGGGGTATTATGTATGTAAAATGTTATACCACAATCAAGTAACTACGTTACCTTCAATTGTTATAAGAATACTGTATGCATCAAAAATAAATCTGACTTTGCATCACAGCCTATCTAAACACCCTGAAATTGGCTTCTGTCTCTTTAAAAACCTCCTACCATTTCTGACACTCCCACTTCAGCAAAAAAAAGTTGATTTTACATATTTCCCTCCTTTAACAGAAATCAAGTTTACATTTAAGTGTCTTGTGCAAAAACACACTAAGACCTACAATTTCAAAAAGTGTGCTTACCAGGCATGCAAATACAGGTGTACTCCCCAATACGATCCAGACAGGTGCCATCATTCTGGCATGGACATGAAGCACATTCGTTGACATCTTGCTCACATCGAGGCCCAGCGTAACCCCGGACACAGTTACAGGTGAAGGAGCCGTCAGTGTTCACACACTGACCACCGTGCTCACACGGGTTGGGTCCTGATGACAAAAGGTAAAAAAAAAAAAACATAAAAACAATCATTTAAAATAAATACATAAAAATAAACAGAGCAGTGGAGCCGTTCAGTATTCAGTCTCACCAATGCTGCATTCATCTCTGTCAATGTTGCAGGTGCTGCCTACATATCCAGGTGGACAGTTACAGTTGAACATCCCAGTGACGGGGTTGGTGTCACAGTGTGAGCCCTCTCTACAGGGGTTACTGATACAAGCGTCATCTCTGTGGCACAGCAGACCTGAGAAAAACATCATTAATAAAACATCATCACAATGAAAACTAGAGATCAACCGATATATATATATA